TCCTGTAGTGTCCCACCACCTCTCAATAGTCCATTTGATGAACTCATCACTGGATCAATCCATTGATGAGATCAGAGCCCTCATGATCTAATCATTACTCGCTAATTCCACCTCGGAACACTGATGTATTTGGGACAAAGCCTTCAACACATAAGCCTTTGGGGAACATTCCAGTTACAAATGGTAACACACCCCCATGGCAATGACCTCTGGAGTCTTAACTCTCATATTTGACCACATCAAGCATGGGTCAAGAGAACAGTTCAGGCTTTTGTGCTCCACTACTGGTTTGTTTCTGTGGCAGTTTCTTCTACTTCTAGGAAGTTGTGATTCTCTGTTTCCACCTTCTCTCTCAAGTGTTAGAGGCAGTGGTTTGTCCAGTGACCTTATTTCTCTTAAGAATTTTAGATGTACTGTTGATTTTTCAGTTTGTTCAGCTTTTTACTTATCATAAGGACCAAGTGGTAACTTCCAAGCTCCATACACACAGAACACATCCCATATTAATTTATTTCCTTTTACTATCTTTATAGAGTTGCACAGGAGTGAGGCTTGCAGGAGGGAGCCTTCAACTCATTTGGTGGAAACAACTGACAGGCTTAATTAGGATCATGGTGAATTATATTGATGACGATGATCATTATCATCATAAATCTAAAGAAGAGACTTGGGGTTTCCAGATGGGCAAAGTAATAGAACCTACAGAAAAGATTAGGGGGTAGGACTTTTTTCACTTAAAGATGCTCAAATTCAGACTTTTGACCTTACTCTCAAATGAAGTTTTATATAGTAATTCTAAGCAAAGAACATGCCAACAGAATTGAAAGATCTTCCTCATATAATTTAATATTTTACCCCATTTTTGGACCACATTCCTTAGAGTATACTATGAGCTTAATAGTTTCTATAATTATAATTATCTTGAGAATAATATAATTACATTGCTTTATATTTTTGATATCTAGAAAAGCCATTAGTTATATTTAAATTGTACATAATTGTTATGAATTCTGCTTTGCATTTTTCTTCTAAAAATGTTAATAGTGTAGGCTTTTCTAATCTCTAAGAGCTACTGGTCTTGGGACACAATTTAGAGGAAAACATCAACAGATAACAAGAAGCAAGATGAGACTGACAGGACCCAGAGACAGGTTTTCTGTGGCAACATTGAGAACAATAGAGGTCAGGTCTGATAGAGAGGGACCTAGCACATGGACACTGGCTAGAACTGGACTTCTTAGCTAGCTCCTCCTGATATGCTATTGCCTGAAGGTTGAATTTCCCCCAAACTCATGCTGAAACCCAATCCGCAGTGGTATTAAGAAGTGGGGCCTTTAGAGGTAATCAGGTCACAGGGGCAAAGCCTGCATCATGGGATTATGAAAGAGGACCAAGGGAGCTTATTTGCTCCCTCTGCCATGTGAGGCTACAGGGAGAAGGTGGCTTCTATGAAGCAAAGAGTAAGCCTTTGCCAGATAGAATCTGCTGATGGCTTGATCTTGTACTTCCCAGCCTCCAGAACTGGGAGTGATAGATGTCTGTGGTGTATAAATTACTCCAGTCTAAGGGGTTTTGTTATAGCAGCCCAAACACACTAAGACTCGGCATGACCCAGCTTCTTGTGGGAATGCATGAGTTTTCAGGTGTCCTACTTCTCTACAGCATCCCGTGGTTCTGCCTGTGGGTAGGGAATGTAATTGCTGCATAATTAGTCCATGAATTATTGAGAACAGACTCTTATGAAATAATAGGAACGATGCCCTCTGGGTTAGGAACACATTTAATATTTTAAGGCTGATATTCAGGTAAAACTAAATCATGTGGTTGTTATTTTCAGGGCCTATATTGACCCAGAGCTGTATCTGATTACCTAACTGAAAACATAAGAAGAACAAACCATATGAAGAGATATTCCTGTCAGCATATAAGTAATATGGGTACAGAAACATTATGGACACACAAAACAAGAGGAGGACAGAACCATGAAAAGGAATAATTTATTGCAACTGTCTTACTTAAAAATAACCTACTTGGTGCTTATGAGAATTACTTATCTTAGGAAAATACTAGCTTCTTTCTTCCCCACTACCTACTCAGGAGTAGGTCCTTCTTTTGGTGACTTCTTGGGCTGATTCTTTCTTAACAAGCATGTACATTTGTCTGTTGTATAGTTCACCAACTGTAACTACAATACTTAGTACCCTGTGTTTCCTCTCTCTGACCTTGTGCTTAATTAGCTCTCATACCTGCTACTCTACAGCCTGCTACAGAAGAATATTTTGCATGGCAGCTGCTCTTTGGTACCCATTTTGGTCATGGGTATGTATTGCCTTTGTACTCCCTTTGGCTTCTGTGACTGTTTCCAGTTGTCTGTTTGGTGCCTTGATTTAAGTGCCCCAGGGTTTCTCTGCCTAAGCAGTGTTTCTTCCAACAGCATTGGCTAGCACTAAATGTGTAAACAGATTCATTGACTAGGATTAAAGGTGTTTTTCTACTTTTCTATTTTAATATTACTATCAAATATATTTTCTTTGGAGCAATCTGGTCATGGCTTAATTGAAGTAATACTTTTATTTATTTAAAGATTTCACTAGTTAACAAACATGAATTGAAGATTTTATACACTCAAGTATTACATCAGATCCTGGAGATGCAAAGTTCTCTCCTCCTTTCTTCATTCCCTCCTCTTTTTCCTACCCTCTCTCCTTCTGTCCCTTCCTCCCTTCCTTTCTTCTTTGAATAGTCAATATTTTGCTAAGTACTTGGAGATATAAAAATGAGTGCAATGCAGTCCTAGTCCTCATAAAACTTTCAATCTAGTAGCAACTCAGAAAAGTAAAGGGATCATTAAATTACAAACAGGTGCAATAAATGATGTGCTAGAGGTTTGCATTGGTTCTAGGAGATTGTGCATGCCTGTGTGTGTGTGTGTGTGTGTGTGTGTGTGCGTGCCTATGGCCTATGTGTAGTGGGGGTAGCATGTTCATATTAGCTTGCATTTGCTTCCAGAAGAGGTGACCTGGAGCTGAGTTCTGGGAGTTGAGGTTTTGCATGTGCCAAGCTTGGAAACATCTACAAACGTCTTAAGGCAAAACCTTCTTGGTGGGTAAGGAGAACTATAAGTGGAGTAGGTCCTGTGGGGTAGCAAGGGATGAATCTGGAAAAGTCCTCAGGACCACTTCATGAAGACTTTTGTGCACAAGGGTAGGAATCCTGCAGAGTGCTGACTTTGAGGAATGTTATGCAAAGGGAGTGCCATGATTAGCTTTGCATTCAAAAGATAATAGTCTAATAATATCATAGGTTATGGCATTGCAGGGCAATGGGCAAGCCTGCACATCTGTTCTGGTGAGGAGCTAGTGGCAATAATCAAGATATTTGCTAAAAAGCCTGGGTACCTGCCCTTGAACATTCACACTCCAAGGCTCATGATAAATCACTGTAATGGAGCAAGCTGAGTATTAGTAGAGGCAGGAATACAGCACGGTATAACACCGTTTATCTCCCTTGTCTTTTTAATTTAAGCTCCTTCTGACTTTAAAATTCTGTGGCTCTAGGCTATCTGTTGTGGAGGATGGTGCTGTCTTCTGAGCCTCTCTACTTTAAGGCTAATGGCACATCAAAGAGGAACCCTGTGAAAATGTTCCTAGGAGCACTGTTCACAGAGGGGAAACAGGAAACAACTCAAATGCCCATCAGAGAGATGGGGAGTAAACTAACAACTGTAGAGACACCAAGCAATGTTATGTCCAGTTGGAGTGAATGAACCACAGCCGTGACACAACTATGTGAGGGCATCTTAGACATACAAACTTAAGTGATAAGTTCCAAAAGGTTTATAAAATATGATGCCTTCTCCCTAAAGTAAGAAAACAGCTAAAATAAAATTATATGCTTTTAAGAGAGATACATGACCTACCTATTATGTAATTTACATTTTTGTATATAATTAAACTATAGAAAGAGGACAGTAAGAGAAGGATGGACAGGGAATGCTGGATGATGTTCCCTTGGGTGGGAAGAGCACGAGAAAGAAAGAGAGGGACCACGTGGTTAGACTAAGTGATTGTCAAGGTTCTGGACTTCAGTTTGGGGTGCTTATTACAGTATTCAAAGTGATTAAGTAAGTAACTACATCTCACGTACAGGAAAGCCATATGTGGCTTGCTGGTAAAATTGTGCCGCAAATAGGAATGTGGTTTAACTAGTCTAGGGCCCTGAGCTGAAGAAAGAAGAAAGGTAAAAAGAGAAAAATAAGCAGGTAGTGATGATGATATGGAGCTGGGAAGATGGAGTGAGCCAGGAAACAGTGAGGTGGGTTTGAGGTGGCTAAGGGAACAAAGCACCAGGCAACCCACACCACCTGTCAATCAGCGGAGTCTCCTGGCCAATCCTGGAAGGACACAGATCTCAGCAAGATCACCTGACCAACCACAGGAGGACTCTAAAAACCTCCCTTTCCTGTCCCAAGCCCTTTCTTGCCGCACTAAGCCCAATAAAATTCCAATCCCAACCCGCTCTATTAGACTGGAGGATCTCGCCAGGGAGCACATCTCAATAAAGCCTTGTTCAGCAGCTTTTAATCTGCCTACTGTTGCTCACTGGTGCCTGACCTTACAGAAACCAGCCAGTGTGAGGAGAGAAGACCCTGGAGAATAGGGGTTTGGAGGGGAGGGGAAGAGTGGGCACAGGTTGGGCAGCCCATGGGCAATGGGGGCAAGTGCTTGTGTCAGCCAATATTCTAGGGTCATCTGTAGTAGGTAAATTCCCTCTGAAAGCCTCTTGGAGAGGAAGTGACCAGCTTCCCACACTGCAATTCAAGGTGAGCCTCACTAGAGTGACAAAGGAGCTGAATCTTGTTTCAATTTTCCAGTATTACCAAGACCTGGAATATCAGCTCAAGTCCTTGTCTGGTAAACCCATCGAACAAAGGCTCCTCTCTCCCAGTTTCCCTGAAGGCCAGAGCAACTGACTCAACTTCAATGCCATGTCATACTCACAGTTTTATGATATCTGATCCAAACTTGTGAACCATTAAGTAGCAGGTGGTTTTCAAGAACAGTTTTTCTAAGAAAAAATAAAGAGAGCAAATAGAATTCATTTTATTATGGTGAATTTAAAACACAAGTTAATGATGATCTTAATGAGGAACAAAGGTTGAGTAATTAATTAATGAAGAATGTGAGTATTTAATTTTAAGGCTTTGGTAATTTTAAAGTGAATGTATCTGTTAAAATATCATTTCCATCTCAGGTTTACATGAATTCCACTTTACTAGATGTGCTAAAGACCAACAGTTTATTATGAAAACAGTTTCACTTTGGGTTTTCATTTTCTTTATCGAAACCAAGGAATATCTGAATGTGGGCTTAGATCTCATTTGTTGAAATTGAAAGAAACACAACTTGTGTGAAAGTCAATAATCTGGAATGTGGATCGGACAGATATTCTTCTCGGGTCTAATTTTTGCTGTTACCGTCCTGGAGCTAGAAGATCAACTGTTAACCGTTGTCCCTGCACTGCCACCTGCATCCTGAACACAGACACACACGGCACAGGTACACCCTTCAACAAAATATCTCAGGAGGACTCAGGGATGTTTTGTGGATGGATCCGTCTACATATTGTGACTAGTCAATTCTCCTCCTGCTTCTCCACTTTGTGAGTCTGTTGTGGAACCCTGCTAATTAAACTTTGGGTCTTATAGTTAGGGCCAGATGAGCCGTCCTGGGAAGAGATGACTGAAGCGAATTGACCTTTCCATGCTCAAGTTGGGGGACCTAGGCATTGCTTGAAGCGTGAGTTGTTGAAATAACAGAAAAAATATAGGGAACTCTCCCTGGTTCTTCAATTTCACTTAGAGGTAAGTGATATTAAATATTATTTTTGTATTAAAATAGATATATTACATGGATTTTTAAAAACAATAAAGGACAACTTCAAACATAGTATGTTCTTGAACTAAGCAATTAAAAATATATCTCCACATTACTGCTGAATTTAATGAAATACCAAGTTATAAGGGAATACTGTTATTAACTGCATAGCAATAAATTAGATAACTTAGATGAAATGGGGAAATTCTAGAAAGACAAAAATGCCAAAAGTGACTCAAGAATAAATGGACAATTTGCATAGACATATAACAAGTAGGAAGATTAAATTATTAATAAACATCTCACAGGTCTGCGGTTATGGCTCAGTGGTAGAGTGCTTGCCTAACACATGCGAGGCGCTGGGTTCGATCCTCAGCACCACAGAAAAAACTAAATAAAAAAATAAAATAAAGGTATTGGGTCCAACTATTAAAAAAAAAAAAACCCTCACAAATAAAAGCCCTAGACTAGAAGACCTCACTGGTGACTTCTACCAAGCATTTAAAGATCAACACCAACTCATCACAACTTTTCCAAAAACTGGAAGAGGAGACTCCATTTCTTAACAGTCATAATGACAGTATTACTTTGATACAAAAACCAGGCACATCCCTTAAAAAAGAAAACTATAACCAAATTCTCTTATAAATATGGCCACAAAAATCCTCAATAAAATACCAGCAACATAGAAATAAGTTTTATACTGTAACCTTGTAAAATTTATCCCCAAAATGAAAAAGTTTTTTAACATCTGAAAATCAACAAATATTTTACATCACATCAAGAAAAGACAAAAACCATATAATCATTTAATAGATGAGAAAATATTTGTCAAAATACCACATCCCTTCATGAATAAAAAAAAGAGAGAGAACAAAACCAAAAAAGTAGGAATAAAAGGGAACTTCTACAACATGATAAAGGTTATCTACAAAAATGTCACAGCTGATGTGATATTTAATGGCAAAAGAATGAATCATTTCCTTCTAAGATGAGGAAAGGCAAGAATGTTTGCTGTCACCACTTCTATTCAACATTATATTGGGAATTCTAGCCAAAAAGTTAGGAGAGAGAGAGAGAGAGAGAGAGAGAGAGAGATAAAAGGCATCCAGAATCGAAAAAAAAAAAAAGAAAATAATACTATTGTGTAGATGATATCATCTTGTATGTTCAAAATCCTAAGAAATCCATTTAAAAACTATAATAACTACTAAATGAGTTTAGCAAATTTGTGGCAGGATACAAAGTTGTAATGCAAACTCAACTGTCTTTCTGTGAAGCATAAATGAGCAAATAAATGAAATTAAAAAAACAATGCCATTTACAATAGTATCAAAAAGAATTAAACATTTAGGAATACATTTAACAAAAAGATATGATATATTCTTTGAATCTCTATTATTAAAAGAAGTTAAAGAAGACCTAAATAAATGGAAATACATCCTCAGTTTATGGATTGGCAGACTTAATATTGTTAAGGTGGCAATCTCCCTAAATTGGCCCACAGATTTAATGCAATCTCTATCAAAGTCCTAACTTCTGTGTAGAAAATGATCAGCTGGTCCTAATCTTTATGGGGAAATTCAAAATTCAGAATAGCTAAAATAATTTTGAAAGAGGAAAACAAAGGTAGAGAGTTTATACTTTCCAATTTCAAAATTATTATAAAAATAACCAAGACAGTGGGATATTAGAATAGGGATACAGATCAATGAAATAGAATCAAAAGCCTCAAAATAAACCCTAAAATGTCTAATCAATTGACTTTTGACAAGGGTGCCAAGAAAATTTCAATAGTGGGAGGAATTTAACAAATGGTGCTTGGAACAATTGGAGCAAAAGAATAAATGCATTCCTTCACCTCACACCATTATGAAAACAACTCAAGATGGACCAAAGACCTAACTGTAAAAGCTTCAACTATAAAAATCTTAGAAGAAAATATTGCTACAAATCACTGTGTGTTTGAACTAGCTTAAATATGACACCAAAAATATGAGAAAAAGAAAAAAATGAACAAATTTGATTTCCTCAAAATTAAAAAAAAAAAAACAACTTATTTTGTGCTTCAAAGGTTAGCATTGAGAAAAGAATGCAAGAAGACATTTGCAAATCATATGATAGATGATTTAGCACAGGGTACTAGAATATATAAAGGACTATTAAAACTTACATCAAATTTGTGGGAGGCAGTTGATTTGGACTAGGCTTTTGCACTAGGTATCAAGAGACTAAACCAATGTGGAGTGTCATTGCAACAGCTGAGCATTAGTTAAATGCAGGAGACTCCATAGCCAATTAATCAATTAAACTGGAAACAATTAAGTTGTTTCTATGACACACTTCCTTCCATTTTCTATAAATGCTATCAGATCATGTTACTAGTTGGATTTCTCTGGACCTGCTTTTGTTCCAGAGTTTATCTGATTTATGAATTTTTTGTTCTCTTCTACTTGTTCTGTTTTGTATATAATTGCTCAAATAAGCTCTACTAAAATTTAAAAGCCTAGGGATTTTTTCTTTTAACAGATTTTGCTAGTCAGCAGAATCCAAAGCAGATCTCCAGGGACTTCTCAGGAGCACGATAGCCAGAGATAGGTAACTACTGAGTCCAAGATGCTCACTGTTTTCCTGCTATATCTAGGGATCATGGGTAAATTCTCTTTAGGATTCTGAAACTACCCAGATTTTGTTTTAAACAGAGTTTGTTTGAGCAAATTTTTGGTTTGGAAGTTGATTTTATAATCATGAATAAAAGATTCCTCTTTTTGCCTTGAGCCCAAGTCCATGGTTAATTTGTGCTGGGAGAGATCATATGACCCTTGGAGTTTGTGGTGGCTGAGCAAGTCAGACAGGAACTAAAATGGGTTTGTTAGGAATAAGATTGGATCTTATAGAGATGTCTTAAATGTTTGGTCAGAAAGAAACTAGACTAGATAGATATGATGAGTTCATCTGGGGTTGAAGAGTCCAGAACTCCCTGTTCCATAAGAGAAGGAATTATGAGTTAATCTGGATCTAATTAGTCTAGACCCCCCCCCCCCCCACACCACCACCCAGTCTGGAACTGCAGCCAATTTTCTATTTTCTATACAGAGACCACCATTTTCTAGAGAAATGAATGAGACTTATCTTGGGGTTGCAGTGGCCACAGTGGGGAGGCAGGGACTCCATTTAGGTCTGCAGATACCCAGTGAGTAACTAAAAGCAGGATACTGTTACTGGGCAGCTCTAATGCTGCTCAGGGAGAAAGAGGCTGGGCCATAATGCTCACTGCTTCAGAAATATTCAGTCAAATTCATAGGAAAATAGGTTTCATTCCAAACCACCTTTGAAGGAAGATAGAAGAAGCTTGTTTCAAAGGTTCTATCTCCAAAATTCCTGAGATTGAGCCAAACCTTTGAAGGAGAGAAGTCAGGGGAGAAGAGACAGTGGCCAGGAAGTGAGACAAAAGGCAGAACATGCATCTATGCAGATGGAGTTGGCCTGCCTCAGATAGGCCCGACTGGGAAATCTCCATCCCCATCTTCTTTGGAGCCTTTCAGGGTGGGGGGTCCCAGCCCCACCACTCCCTGAAGCCTCCACTCTCAGCATAAGGAAGCCATTTCCAATTTCAGATGGGGCCCCCCAAATTCAGTCTGTTTCAATGCAACTCCATTTTTTAAATCTGTCTCCTTTATTACCTTAAACTTTTTGACTTGCTCGGCTCTACACATACACATGTTAATCATTTAAGGAGTGGTCACATAAAAGCTAGTAGTACAGTTTATTAGCCCTAAACTTACCTATCTGGTTCCCCTTCAAGATTGAGATGAGATGTTCAGGAACATTTGACTGTTAGCTTTTACAACACCCTCTTTCAGATCCCTGGAGAAGCATCTAGGAATTTTCAGTCATTGTTCTATACCTTCCAGGGAATCACCCCCTGATGAGACTGCCACCCTGACTCAGTCAGGAGAGATCGTCGTGGCATGGGAACCAAATTACCACCTTCCTGGATCATAGGTCTGACAGATAATCATCCTGAACAACAAGTAGCAATTGCCACCCCAAGCAATAAGGATTTCTCCAGAGCCACCTCATAGAATCAGAACTGAGAGATGATCAGCCAGACCACACACAGTTTGACTAGGACTGCTTAATCATGCAGACCTCTCATCCCTGCCCCAATGCTTCCTCTTTTTAAACCTA